ATTTTTAGGCTATTTTGTGGTAGAGGGCAATAATAAGGTCATGAGTCAAGTGAAATTAGTCGCACACCTTATTCCAGTAAATAGTTACAATACTTGAAAATTGCACTAGCGGACCAAATTGTGTACTTTATATATGTAAACAATAGAGTGGCTATCCTCCTGAGGACTCACAATCTGCCGGAGGAATCGTAGGGGGCTGGTGCTATGTGTGCCGGGTGGCATCTCTATAAGGTTTTAATCACAAAAACGTGTCTCCCTGACCCCAGCGCGCTTTCTGTTCGATAAAAATGGGTGACTCCGAAAGGACGTTCCGCTGTTACCGTAAGTTCTCAACAAAACGCGCACCGTCTTTTCCCCGATGCGGGCCGCATGTTCATAGAGCTGAAAGATGCGGGCCACTTTACCGCGGTCTCAGGATGGGACCTGTTTAAAATTAGAGGGCTGAGGCTACAGTGGGAAGTTGTGGCAAAAGAAAGAGGGGAGTTAGCAACTGGACGAGGAGTAGAACCCCCTGGCACAGCAGACACTACAAAACACAAAAAGGGGAACCTAGACCGTTCGGCTCAAACACCACCACCAGGAGTCACCAGTGCACCCACATGAGCTGCAGTGGCGTAGCAGAGCTGTCACTAGGGGAACACACTATTACTAGACCAGGGGTGCTCACACTTTTTCAGCATGCGAGCTACTTATAAAAGGATCAAGTCAAAATGATCTACCTACTACAAAAATGCAAACCATATATTTATTTCAAAAAATATTCTTTATCTACAATGTATGTTTATGTACATGCAAAACCGCATGAGCCAATATAGCACAACACAATTACCTATGTACATTTTTTGTCATTACCCGAGTTTACTCTGATGACTTGCACTGAATTGAATCGGCCAGGGATGCATAGTCCGGAAAATTGGTGGTAACTCGCTGACAAGTTTGTCGTTGTTTAGCTTTCCTGCACTGAGCGCGTTGTTTGCGCATGTGCAGTCACCTAAGTGTCAGTAAAACATTACTGAGTAAAACACACATGTGCAGTCACCTAAGTGTCAGTAAAACATTACTGAGTAAAACACAGATGTGCAGTCACCTAAGTGTCAGTGAAACATTACTGAGTAAAACACAGATGTGCAGTCACCTAAGTGTCAGTAAAACATTACTGAGTAAAACACACATGTGCAGTCACCTAAGTGTCAGTAAAACATTACTGAGTAAAACACACATGTGCAGTCACCTGAGTGTCAGTAAAACATTACTGAGTAAAACACACATGTGCAGTCACCTCAGTGTCAGTAAAACATTACTGAGTAAAACACAGATGTGCAGTCACCTAAGTGTCAGTAAAACATTACTGAGTAAAACACAGATGTCATTTGACTGTGGTGCCATGTCCATGTGCTATGCCTGTTTTTTTTAAATCCAAATATTTCCCCTCCTCAGTTTATAAAATAATTTGCATCCACACATCTGCGTTATCAATCACATTCGTAACATTCCAAACATGTGCGTCTCTTACGTCCTGTCCTGCGTTGGGGAAAAACACAGAAGTGGGCGGAGCTTTGATGCAGACGCCGGTAACGGCACTTTTACAGTCATAGAAGACACTCAGAGTAAAGACGTATGTTTACAAGCACTGACCCCGTCCTCAGCCCTGGTTTAGTCCTGGTTTAGTCCTTAGCCCTAGTCCTGAGTCCCCGCGATCACTTTGCTGCTCTCTGATGTGGAGGATGTTCGCTGCTGCGAGCATCTCACAGCGAACAGTTTTTAAGGTAGTATGATCCATGCTTCAGTGATCAGAGGAATTTAGGGGGGTACTGTGGCGTGCGAGAACGCAAAACTCCGGTTATCTCTGTCTACACACAAATGCATTAACGGAGTTTTCAAAAATCTCCACTTTGCCCGGAGTTTTTTGTATATATTCGTTTAGAATGTGTATTTATTTATTTGATGCGATCTACCAATACTACCTTTGCGATCGACTGGTAGATCGCGATCGACGTATTGAGCACCCCTGTACTAGACTATTTAAATGCCCCCAATTGACCCCAGAGCATTATACCTATGACAGAGTGCGCGCGCAGTCACGGCTGCAGAGTGTAAGGCAGCCCCTCGTCAGCCTGGAGGGACAAAGATAGAGCTAGAAGTGTGTTTTCTAACCATTGCATGTGTAATCATTAACATTGCACTAGCGCAGCATCTCGTACCTGGCCAGACGCAGACTGGGAAGCAGCAGGGGGGGCGTATCCAAAAGGGGCGCACCCGAGAGAGAGACGCGCATTTATAGAGCGAACCAAATGCTGTGTCTTAAGGGGACAGGCGCGACCCGTTTCAAGCACAGTTTGATTCATATTGTCACATTTAGTACCAGTTCACCAATGAGGTGAAACCAGCGTCTTCTTGAAAAGAGAGCAGTGGTTGAAGAGATTCCTGCAGGAGGGAGAGAGGTGGGAAAGGTCAGCAGGACCCGTTTATAGACCGGTGTTTTAGTAATATTTTTCTGTAACCTCTTTGTCCTGCACAACCCGCACCAGCAACTGCTGTGCTGGCTCCTGGCAAACGTGAAACTCTTTTAAACAGATTAACATGAAAAACAAGGGGCTTCTTTTGTCTGTCTGGCATATAGAGTTCATAAGTTACTTACTGTCCCCACCTTCTTAGTAACACCATATACAGGAGGGTCTGTTAGACTATTTAAGGGTCTAACTAAAAGCACTGTGGTGACACTCAACATTCAACAATCAACCTATGAGTTCTCTATTCTTTGTGTTTTAACTGTTTGATTCTCTAAGCCGTGTTGGTGAATTCAATGATTTTGTAAAGTCCTCTGAGATAACTACTGTTGTGATTTAGGACTTTACAATAATACATTGAATTGAAAATGCAGAGAGTGTCTCAAGTTTTCTCTCTCTCTTGACAAGGTGACGTTTCTACCCTTTTCTACCCTTTTCTGCAAACTGCCTTTACAGTTTTTGTGATCCGCATTGTTTTGCAAGATGTTGTTGTACATCTTTGCCATGTTTTTGTGGAGTTCAGTGGATTTTTTACTGCCAAAGCTCTTTGCTAGCAATGAACAGAGGATGTGTTTTTAAAAGTAAACACACAGTTAGCATCTGAGCTAAAGGCTTTTTGAGCAGTATTTAAGACCTACAAATCCAGAGATATCATCTTCTGAAGCGCTGACAGGTCACCGAGGGCCCCATGCATCTGCAGCACAGTGGAGGCGTCACAAGAGGCGCTACAGGAGTCCCGGCCTCCGTTGTGTGCAACTTCTACAGAGGGACTGTAGAGAGCATCCTGACCAGCTCCATCACTGGGTGGCCCGGCACCAGCACTGCCTCCTGCCGAAGGAGCCTCCAGCGCATCGTGAGAGCAGCAGAGAAGATCTGTGGAGCCCCTCTCCCCACCATTAAGGACATGTACTCCACCCGTCTCCCCCGCAAAGCCGTCAGAATCACCAGGGACCCTACGCACCCATCACACAGGCTCTTCAGGGTAATGCCTTCAGGGAGGAGACTGCAGAATTTACGGAACAGTTCCAGTCGACTTAATAACAGTTTCATTCACAAGGCCATCAGGAAGCTGAACTCCCTGCCCTCACCTCCCACCCCTCTTTCCCCACCCCCCGCTCCACAATCAAGGATGAGAGAAATATAATTTCAAACCATTCTTGAATCTTGAAGTTACCCAAGATGCCCTGCATTAGAGCCCTCATCCTTCTCTCCAGCACAGCTCCCACAGAGTCCACACTTCTCCACATCTGACTCCAGTCTGAGAAGGCAGCCACCACCTCCCTGTACTCTGCTTCATCCCCCCTTCACACATGCCACAACAGCGGTATTGTTTGAGTATTTTTGTACATGGCATGTAGCAAAGTTGTGTGCAAAGTCTGCAAGGTAAATTGTGAAGAGGAAGGAAGCGTGAACGGTACCCTGTGGTGCCCCTGTATTGCTCACAACAATCCCAGACACGTTCTTCCCTAACCTGACATACTGTGACCGCACAGTCAGGTAAATCCAGTTGGTAAAGATGGGATCAACTCCAATATTCTCCAGTTTCTCCCTCAGTAAGAGAGGTTAGTGTTAAATGCACTGGAAAAGTCAAAGAACATCAGCCTCACATAGCCTCCAGGGCCATCCAGGAAGAACACGGACTGATGGAGCATGTAGAGGACCACGTCGTCCACTACCATGTTCTCCTGATACATGGGAACAAACTGCAGGGGGTCAAGAGCTTGCTCAACCTGTGGCAAGAGCAGTCAGAGAACTAGCCTCCCAAAAGTTTCCATTAAGACAGATGTTAGTGCCACTGGTCTGTAGTCCTTGCACCCTGAAGTCTGAAGTCTGGAGACTCTTGATAAAGATGGTATGGAGAAGCTCAGCTAACTCTGCCTCACACAGCATCAGGGGTGGTGTAGCTGCCGAGACGAGCAGGACTGGTCACAGCAGCAGAGGTAGTGTAGCCGCCAGGAGGAGCAGGAGGACTGGTCACAGCAGAGGTGGTGTAGCAGCCGGGAGGAGCAGGGCAGGTCACAGCAGAATCAGCGTGGAAGGGGAAGAGTTGAAATGGTTGTGAAAGTGGTTAAACAAATCAGCATTCCCGGCCGCCTCACTGCCCTTATTTTTGTATCCAGTAATGGCCCTCATGCCCTTCCACACTTCTGCCTTTTTTCCTCCAGACCATTCTTGTACTCCCTCCATGTGTTTATGTCCTCTTCAAGTCATGTTGGACAGTTCTCGCCTGGTCCCTGTCACCTGCCTTAAAAGCCTGTTTCTTTAGGTTCAAAGTGTGTTTGTTGTCACTTGTAATCCAAGGTTTATTATTTGGAATACAGCAGACCGTTTTCTTTAGCACATGTGGTAAAATGGCTCTGAGGCCGGTGTTGAGGATGCGCCTGCATCCCCACGGGCCGCCCCGGTGGGCTTTATAAGCGCTCCTCCTCTCATTTGCCCCTCTTTGCCCTCACGCCTCTGCAGCTGTGTGTTTGTCACAGCTCCACGCATCCAATGCCGCTGTCTGGTTCCCCAAAGCATCTAAAACCTCTGCGCATCAGGTAAACTACTGCTTCCATCACAGTATTAAAACGCACATTTACAAAGCCAATGATCTTTTCCCAGCTCAGTGTCTGCACTCCTCTGGGTCTACACCCTCATGCACCATAGGCTCCCGTAGCGTGCTTTCGACTGCAGCGACAGGTACAACCATGCAGGCTTTAATGTCATTCATAAAGTCGCCCGGGCACAGTTTGTAATGTGATCCACCCTCTGTAGTCACGCTGCTTGACCCAAGCCTAGGAGCTGCGCAGTCCCATGCGCTGTGGCGTGTATAAAAAAGGTAATTATTTTAATAGAAACTTCATTCATGCCCAGTTCAAATTCTAACTTTATATTTGGCTGGTTGTGGTCAGCACCAGTGGCGCGGGTCGGTCCGCCCATTCATAGTGGCTGCTCTGAGCGCAGCCTCCTCCTCTGGCCTAAAGCTGTGGACCGCGCGTGTTTGTGACTTCGAATTGGTAGGATTTATGTATTAAGATGTACTTTTCTCCTCCTTTTTGTTATTTAGTTAGGGTTGGTTTCAGTAACTTTCTAAATTAATCTTTTTTTAGGTGCGTTCCAGCGGCACTGGCACACGCCCCCCTGCTGCTTTGCTTTGCTTTGCTTTGCTCAGCTTCAGCTGCTTTGCCTCCGCTCTTTCTAACCAGCTGCTTGGCTCCGCAGCTTTGCATCGCTGCTTCGATTGCACTCACGCACTTTAGCAAGGGCTGCATCCCGGCTCTGGGGCGCACGCTACTTGTGGGAATGTGCAATGTGGATGAGAGTTTGGGTGTGAACGAGAGAGTATGAATGTAGCATTTGAGTTTTATCTATTTCATTACATACAGAACTGTCATTGATTACACTGTAAAATAAACTTGTTAACCCTGTTAAACTTGGAACCTGGTGCATTTTAATCTTTTAATACTTACCTGTGTGTCTTTATTTTATACAGTACTCTTCCGGTGAAACTCCGGTCGTGGCGTTGCTTGGTCTATTTCATTACTTACATATTTTAACCTGTTATAATTCCACTTATTTTCTCCATTATATCCCACTACCACTAGGCTGCCACACACAGCGACATCAGTACAGAAGTGGATTAATCCGTAACTGTCCACAGCCTTTTTAATGTCCTCCCCTGAGCCCAGAAGTATATTCCAGTCGGTAGTCTCAAAACAGTCCCTCAAAGCATCGCTGCCCTCTGTTGCGATGCTTCCTCCTCCTGCTCTCCTCGAGGTCAGACGTGTCTCTCCCTGCTCCTGCTCTGCTGGCCCTGATTGTCTTTTTTCCTTGTGCTCTGCCTGTATACAACTTGAAAAAATGATGGAATTAATCAACTGGTCCCTCAACGCAATTGATACTATTTTTTCATCACGTAAAGGCGGTTCTGGAGATACTGTTTGTCCGGATGGTACTGCGGCTGCTGGGTACGTTTTTGACAACTGGCAAAAGTGGCACCCCGTTTGTCTGTCGAGACTGTCCATCGAGGATATTGAGGATATATACATTTTTGGATTTATGGTAGCAGGGTTCCTCCTGATTGGATTTGGAGTTGGCTTGATCTACCGCAAAGTTGGAGGGCTGTCCACTCAGAAGATTTACGAGCGGCTGTCCGCGGAAAAGAGTTTCCGCGAGTTGGCCAGAGTCGTGGTCGAGGGCACAGTGGGGACACAACGGGGTGTGAGTCGGATTGAACATTCCCTTACAGATCTGGGAGTGAGATCTTTGGATGGACTTAAACGCGTGGAAGGATTGATTGAAGGACTTGGGCCTCACGGTTGAACCTCGTACTGACGTGCTCAACTCCGGTGAACGGAGGGTCCAGTTCCAGTATAATTTGGACATATTGGCTTTAGTTTACACTGCCTTTCATTGATCAGCTAAAGTGCTTATACACATTTCCCACAAGGCATGTGTTGTTTTGTCTCCAATGTTTGCAGGCACCTGCGCTATCTTTGTCCTCCACATTCCACCACCCACATATCGGCTACTCAAGGCCGACACTGGACTCTATCTAACTCAGACTCACAACCCAGAACACCAGTTACAATTCCTGGTGTTCACCCCCCCTTCTACATGTCTGCCTCCCTCTCTTCTCAGTCTATGGTGGTCTTCCCCTCCACCTCCCCCACACACACTCCCCTCTGACGCGCTATATTGGACGAGGCGGGTCAGAGTGATGACTTCCCTTCAAAAAGATCCGCATGTTTTCCACATGTACTGTGTCTTTCCCATGTTTGTTTGAAATATGTGTCTGTTTTGCTCTCTGCTGTTGAATAACTGTCATAAGGAGCGCGGAAAATTAGAGTACGCGGCCGGCCTTGATGTTTATTCATCGAACTGAATTTCTCCATCTGTGAGATAATAAAGGATTGATTGATTGATTGTCCATTGCCTGAATGATCTATGGACTATGAGCATTCTTGTCAGATTTGGCCTGTTTATGGGCTTTAGATGCATCAGATTGTGATCAGACTTTCCTGGGGGGGTTTTGTGAACTCATCCCGTTCACAAAACAACGATCTAAGATGTTGTGCCTTGTAGGACAACAATTGTGTAAAGCAACCTTGGAGCAAGCTCACATCAACATGGTTGAAGTCCCCTGATACTATCATCAATGCTTCGGAATGCTGTGACTGAATTTTAGCTGAATTTTAACTGCCTCCTGAATGACGTCACAGCGCGAGGTGGAATGTAAAAAATAATGGCGACAATACAATACACAATACAATACAATTTATTCTTGTATACTGTAGCCCTAAGTCACAACAGAAGTCATCTCAGAGGACTTAACAAAACCATTGAAATCACCAACACAGATCAGAGAATCAACAGTTAAAGAAGCTATACCCGATTTTTTTTCTAAGTAGTTCATAAAAATGCTTATTACTACATACAAGTTGTATTATAATCCATAATTTAATTGAAAACTTGAGGTCATTGATTCAGCGGTGTACAGTGATGGGAATAACGGCGTTACTAACGGCGTTACTTTTTTCAGTAACGAGTAATTAACTAGTTACTTTGACTGTAACTATAACGCCGTTATCATTTCCGACATCCCGTTACTGCGCGTTACTCAAGACGCACAATGAACTTCTCTTTTTACTTCGTGATAGGTGCGTGTTGTCATGAGAAGGGAGGATGAGAAAACCTTGGCTGATGTAAAACATATTTCCTTTACAATCTACATGTCTACAGTTGAGAGGATAGCTCATAAATTGTGTTTTTGAAACAAATATGGGTCTTAATTGCGCTCAACCACGGCTTGTATCACCGTGAGGCCTCAGAGGAGCTCATGTGAGCGCAGAAGGCTGCATACAATTCCATCCAAAAGCTCCTTTCTCCTCCTGGTTTATCTGCTAAGGACAGCAACAGGTTTGGCTAACATACATGTAACACATTTTAAGATAATTTAAAATGCACTTAGGGTAATTTTTCAATGACTATAGGAATGAAAAGAAAGAAAGGTTAAGTGTAAGACGGTTGATTTTAGAAATTGGATGCACCCGGCTGCAGCTAGCAAAACAGAGGAGTTTATGGAGGACACACGCGTTTTGTTTTACTTATTAAAACTCATTGGACTCATTTCCAAATGGAGGATTACATATCTACGCTCAAACTATTATCTGGACTTAAACACAGAACTGGTCTGAACCGAAGTGGCCTGTGCAGGTCATTTATAAGGTAATGGTGCGTTCAGACCAAACGCGATTTCTGCGGCAGGCCGAGTAAGGCGTGGTCAAGCCTGGTGTGATAACGTAGGTAGTCTACCATCCTGAACCTCCGCTTCAGCTGCATTACTTATAATTAAAAAAAACATGCATATGGTGGCAACACAAGTATGTGTCACAGGGTGAGATGAAGAAGGACTAAAAATGCCAGATAGCAAAAAAATATTGATTTGATAATGTCTAACGTAAACAAAAACTCAAAAATCCAAAACGACACATGGGAAACAGGAAAACAAACAGATGAGGGCAAAGAAAGACAATGGAGCACAAATGGGGAAGAGCACAGGTACATATAGACACAGAGAGACACAGGTGAAAGACATTAGGGCGGGGCAGACAATCAACAGGGGGACAGGACAGGAAGTAAAACTAAAAACAAAAGTCAAAATAAACCCAAGTTCCAAATATTACAAAATCCACACCTATGACACTATGCTATACCAACTAACTATGGGACTCTTGTTTGGGTAACCAGTTGTAAACAAAATTTAACTGGAATTAGATACACCTCATTATTGTCTTTCTGAACTCAATTATTATCTAATCTTTATCTAAACATCAGAACTTGTAAAAAAAAAAATATTACCCAGTGCGAGTGCAGCCTCCGCTTCATTAAAAGCAATACATATTTCAATATAGTTTAGCAGCAGAATAGATTAGATAGAACTCCCAGAGGTATCGGAAAGAATCAGGCCCTCTTTGTATCTGGTTGATGTAAAAAATAAAAGTAGATTTGAGGCAGCCAAGCCTTTTTTCTTTTTACATTATTTAGTGGCAGATTCAGTATCACGCTGTAAGAGCTACAGAATGTTGAAAAGGCAATTACTTCCATGTTCTGTCCAACTCTATGGTGCTTTTTTTTGTTGTTGAACATTTTTCTTCCTTTTATCAGAGCTGTGGGTTACATTCTGAAAGACTCAATGCACTAATATTTCAGAATGTTTGAATGACCTTGTGGTAAAACTGAATCTGTCCAGCGATAGTGGAATATAAAAGAAGCGAAGTTGAAAATAATTGTGAGAGACTGATACAGACATAGTTCTCAAACTGTTGATCTGTTTCCGAAATGTTGTGCTAAATATTCTCTTGAGATTTAGGGAATGCTCTAAAAACAGAAAACATCCAGAGAACTGCAACACTGTGATGTCAAAGGTTACATGACAAGAACATATGATGGAAGGCTAGTCCTGTCTTTAGCCTAAATCCCCTTTGTGAACAAACAAGTGGAAACATACGAGGTTGGGATTCAAGTTCAATTTAGATGCATTAGACCGAGTGTGTTTCAGATGCATCCTGCCTGTAAATGTTCGGTAGAGGTCAAATTGTTTATGCCTCAATTTATGGCTAGTTCTACCGTTGTGTCTGCATTTCATACTTGCTCCTTAATATGCTAAAGTCAGGGCTTTTTGTACTTAAGTTTTGCTTCTTCATCATGCTAAAGATGGAGTTTTTAAGACTTCTTTCCTGATTATGCTAAAGATGTGTATTGTATTGTATTTAAACTGCTTCTTTTTATTTTATTTTAGTATTGAGTTATTATTAATTTATCTTATGCTGCGTGCTCCTCATTCCTACTGTTCTGTAATTTGTGATGCAACACTGAAATTTAGATTTAATGAATTTGTGAATTTAATGAATATGAATTTGTGTGTAACTGCAAACCATTTGCAGACTAGGCGTGACAAACAATAACGTTTTTCTATTTCTCATTTTTACTTTCCTCAAATCCTTGTGCAGTTAATATTAAGTTATTGTGTGATGTGTGTCTTGTAGACTCCTCCCAGACCAGACTGTCTTTACGTGTGTGGTGTGGCTCATGCGGTCAGTGCAAGACCAGGGCAGTTGTGTTCTTCCTCATTTTGTGCTCCGCTCTGCCCTCTACCTGCTGTCAGTGACACAGGACAAAAGCCCCAACCTCGATAAGGTAAATATTTCCTCTTTACATTTCACCATTTACGAACAATGTCAAGTCAGATCTGAAGCTCTTGAAGCTGTAAATGAATGTGCAAGAACAGTGTTTTATAGTTTGTGTAAGTTCTCGGCCGTGCAGGGATTAGTCAAAGCAAAGGAAGGTTTCTCCCCCATCATCTGTACTTCTTAGTAGGTTTTTCCGACGTTTTGTCCTTCCTCTAAAGGACTTCTTCAAGGGAATGAGATCTCAGACTTCGTGTTGGAGATTTATAATTTATAGTATAACTTTTACTGTACACATACTGTTGCTTTGATATAAGGAGGTGACAAGTTTATAAGATAAGATTTTAAAAAACCTTTATTCAGCCCATAGTGGGAACATTTCAATGTTGCAGCGCACATAATAGTAGTAAGAGCACACAGGGAGCACACAAAATATACAATATGAGTAGCTACTATGTTTCTTATCTAGCTGTAAATACTTCAATATCAATATATCTCTGGGAACATCAGGTGCCTCAGTGGGGCGGCTGCAGCTGTAAAAGTGCCTGTGGTTGTGTTCTTCGGCAAAACACTTCACCCATATCACTTAGAATGTGTCTGGTGTGTGTAGTGAATGGCTGGTGGTGGTCAGAGGGGCTGATGGCACATAGTGATTTCCTCGCTTCTGTCAGTGTGCCCCAGGCCAGCTGTGGCTACAGTTGTAGTTCATCACCCTTGTGTATGGAGTGAAATAATAATGGCATGTGCAGCGTCTTTGAGTGTCTGAAAACGCTATATAAAACCTATGCATTAATATTATTATATCGATATATCTCTGTCTATATACAGTATAGTGTAAAGTTAATATAAATATCTGGCAGGATAATGAATAGATAAAGTGACATTTAGTGGACATTCTGAAATTGCAGTATTGCACATTGCACATGATTACAGTATTGACTATTTACAGATGAATTACATGTACAGGCTCAGCAGTTCTCATTGTGCAGGCAAGTGAATGTGTTAATCACAACTAAACATTTATTGAAATAGTTGTCGGCTAATGTAATAATAATTTTTTGAACATTTTGCTGAGAAGAAGTTTAGGTTTTAGACAGTTCTATAATTCTATAAGGACTGCAGAGAAATACTGAACACATGTTTTTATAAAGTATTATTAATAAAACAACCCAATGTGTAACTATTCTCCCGGGGCATCACTTGAGCTTTGTTTAAGTCAAAAGTATAAAAAATCCCAAGTTCACTGATCTTTCACAATAGAAAAAACGTATTGATTATCAAAAATAGTTAGTTCCAGCCATACTTTGGTATTGTGCTCGTTCTTATTTTCTGCAGGCTCAGTTGAGGAGCATCAGTACGGCACTGTCCCTCTGCCCAACACTGTCTTCTGTGTACGTGCACCACCCACCTCTCCTGCACTTCATCTGCCGCTACTCCGAGTTAGCAGAGAGGTACCTAGCACCGGCCTTAGAACTGTGGCTAACCCAGAAACTCCCACATTCAGCTTTAACTCTGGTAAGATCAAGGCGTAAATGCAGTTCAATTAATTCCTTGCTTGTGAGGGCTGCCAGAGGGACTACGTCATTTACTTTTTCTTGTCCAGGAAACCAGCAAAGAAGAACAACACACTGAAGAGAAAAATGAAATATCAGAGCTCCAAACGCTGATAGAAAAGTATCCCGCTGTCGCCGCAACCCTCCTGGTGCGAGCCCTGAAACCCCTCTCTTTATCTATCATTATTTTATCTGTTTAATTTCACGCTGCTGTTCCGGTGTCTGTTCCAGGAGCTGGTGTGGAGCTCGGACAGCGCTCTGGCACAGAGAGCTCTGAGCGTGTTGGAAGTCTTCTTGAGCGGCCAAGCCCGATGTAAAGCAGAACTGTGCTCACATTTAGCACCCACTTTGCTCCAAGCTTTGCAGAAGATCAGTATTGAGGAGGTGGGAAACAGGCTTGTAAAGGGAAACGTCACACTTGGTAAGAAGCATGAAATAATAACTTACTCATTTGCATCAAAAATACTGCATTTCTCATTTTATCTACTGTATTTATTCTGCCCATATTGTGCTAACTTACATTATATATATATATATATATTTCTATGTATATAGATATGTAGTATCAGTATCATGCCATGCCATTTAATTGTACTTTTTTTAGCTACTTTGTCCAAGTAATGTGCCTTTCCTGTGTGGAAGGTTTGTCTAGGTCTAAAATGTGTATGCACTAATTTAATCCCTATGTTCAAGTCAGATACTAATCAGTCAAATGCACTTATTCCTGTTTGCTTTTGTCATCCCTCAGCTCGGACAATGTATTTACTAAAGATTCTACTTTTATGTCGTCACCTAATATTTCCATAATTGTTTAAATTGATGCTGAAATTACTAGTCTTTCATCTTTCATTTCCTACTATGGGAATATCAAGTATTTTCTGTGAAAGTTAAAGCTCATTACAGTAATTAATTCCTTCTTTCATTCACATTTCATTACATTGAATTCAAATTTGCTCTTTATCTGTCTTTAATTACCAACTGTTCCAATGAGCGTGGTTTAACCATTCTGCTGCCAAATAAATAATCACTATTACCTCTGGGGCTGTAACCAGTTAATTAATCAACTAATTGTTTATTGAAATATTTATCAACTAATTTAGTAATCGAGTCATTGTTTTTTTAACCTTACATAGACCTGAACATGCTGAGAAGACGTTTTATGACTCTGATAATTCCATAATGATTGAAGAATGATAGACAAGTCGTCTCTATGAAGCTGTTCTCCAGGGGCATCACTGGAGCTTTTTGTCATCTAAACAATTAATCAATCATCAAAATAATTGTTAATTGCAGACCTGATTTTACCAAATATACTATGATTCTGGCCCATTGACATTTTTCTTCCCACTAAAAAACAGCATCAAATTCAAGTCCGATGTTTGGCGCACTGTTCACATCAGAGCATTCTTTACGTCTATGTCTAGGTTTACACGCTCCGTCTGTGGAGGCCCGCGCCTGGGAATATAGAGATTCTGCTGCAAAACACCAGCATCTTTATCTTATGTAGATCCTTTATGTCCGCTGAAATAGGTTCTGTATCCCAGTGACGGGTTTAAACAGCGGCATGTGGTGAAAAATCAACAAGGAGATATGACCGAAAGTGATCACAATCCATCTAAATATTACATTATATTATTAAGGACGTTTGCTGCCGATGTTTTCACCAGCTCTGGTTTCCCAATGGCTGCTTCAGCACATTTTGGACGCACGTATCTTGACAGTTTGAGTGATGCTATTTATTTTGGTTTGGAGAAAAAAAATCACAGGGAGCATCAGTATTCTGTGCTCTGGGGAATGAAGCCAAGTGTCAGGCTGCAGATCCCAGACATCTACTAACAAATGTCTGTTACACCTACTGTATATGCCGATTTTGTTAGCGCCCCCGTCCATTCTAAAGTTCTAACCCTGAAATGTTTTGTGGTTGAGCAGTCAAATCCCTCCCGATGGTGCTGAGGCTGCTGTGTCTGATCCAAGCCAGTGAGCCATCGTCCTCTGCGACTGAGATAGATGGTGGGAGGTTCAAGATGCTTTACCACGGTGAGGCCATGGAATCAACCAACTGTAAATTAGAAATGCCTTGTTCCTCAAAAGGGAGCCTCTTTGATTTTACTGATTACAACCCATAATAATATATCAAAGAAGGTCAATATTTTTTTATCCGCAGATCCTACATTTATGAGCAATTGCTTTTTGCTGCTGTAGTGAGAAAGACAAATTCCTTGACACCTTTATCTCTGCTGCATTTTATAATTCTAATATCTCCTGAAAACTGATTATTTTTATTTTTATCTCAATGTCAAGTCGGTCACTTGTACTTGTAAGGTATTCTGTAAGTAAGTAATCTTATATAGAGGAATTCACAGACAAAGCCTCAAGGCAAGGCAAGGCAAGTTTATTTGTATAGCACAATTCATACACAAGGCAACTCAAAGTGCTGAACAAAAATAAGAAAGCATTAAAATCATAAATAATCACAGAACATTAAAGAGAAAGATAAAAATATAAAATCCCTCAGTTGTATGCACAGCTAAACAGAACTAGTCACTAATATATTTTGGTGCGAGGCCATGGAGAGACTACACACACAAGCAGAGCTGTTTTAAAGTCTATTCTCTGAGCCACAGGAAGCCAGTGCAGAGACCTGAGAACTGGACTAATATGGTCGTACTTCCTGGTTCTAGTCAGGACTCGAGCTGCTGCATTTTGAATGTACTGCAGTTGTTTTACAGCCTGTTTGGACAGACCTGTGAGCAGGCCATTGCAGTAGTCTAACCTACTGGAGACAAATGCATGGATAAGAATCTCCAGGTCTGCTTTAGACACTATGTTTTTGATCCTGGCAATGTTTTTTAGATGGTAAAAAGCTGCTGATGTTACTGATTTGATGTGGCTATTAAAATTTAAGTCTGAGTCCAGTATTACCCCTAGATTTCTGACCTTGTTTGAAGGTTTTAGGGAAAGAGACTGTAGGTGACAGATGACGCTCTCTCTTTGTTTCTGGGGACCAAAAACAATAATTTCAGTTTTGTCCGCGTTTAGCTGAAGGAAGTTGTTTTGTATCCACTCACTGATCTGTTGGATACAGTGAAGGAGTGAGTCCACTGGTCCATGTTCAGCTGCAGTCAGTGAGACATAGATCTGAGTGTCGTCTGAATAGTTGTGATAGGACACTTCGTTTCTGCGTATTAACTGACCTAACGGCAGCATGTAGAGATGTAGAGAACAGAAGAGGTCCCAGGATCGACCCCTGTGGTACTCCACAGGTCAGGGCCATATGATCTGAGACACAGTTTCCAATCTCCACAAAGTTCTTCCTGTCTTCAAGGTAAGACCTAAACCAACTTAAGGCGGTGCCAGCGACACCAACCCAGTCCTCTAATCTCTGTAAGAAGATCTCATGGTCGACAGTGTCAAAAGCTGCACTTAGATCTAACAGGATTAGGATTGAGACTTTGCCTGCTGTGGTGGGGTCTAAAGCCGGACTGAAACATATCAAATGAGTTGTTGATTAAGCCTCAAAGTGCTTTACAGCCTCAAAGTGCTTTACAATGGGGTTTTTGGGGCATTTTTCTTCTCACTCCACACAGTGATGAAGTGGGGTCGCCCATACAGGAGGTGCATGCCAGGCTTAAAAGTGCAAAGGGAAAGCTACACAGACACGGGGAGAACATGTAAATTTAAGCACAGGTGCTAGCTGCTCCACCACTATGCATCATTATGTAATGATGTGTGAGCACATGTCCTCCATGTTAAATCAATCATGTGTGTTTGACTGGGATTGTGTTTGTCAGTTTGTAATTTAACAGGAAAACTTAAAGCTGAGAATTGGGAGAGTTTGCTTCATGCCTTCAGCTACATGCACAGCTACCTCAGTCAGTCTGCGGCTTCCAGTGTAGACAGAGGTGAGGTTTTTGTCTGAGTCATATTTCAGTTGCATTTCCTTCATTTGAAAGGCAAATAGGCAAAAGGAATTAAAAACTCAAGTCACTATATGTACAATGATTCCCTATGTCCACATAAAGTTAATTACAGAGGCTTACATTCAAAGTGATTTCTGAGTGGTTAGTTATAATTGAAACTAGGATTTAAAGTTGTAAAGCTTTGGTTGAAAGCTTCTGCTTCCATTCTTTGCTGTTATATTTTGCAACTGCTGAACTATTCCAGTTTAACTTAATCTGATTTATGTATAAATCACTATTAGAAACAAAGCTCTGTATACAGAAAGAAATAAACCAGAACAAATACAGCACATTTTTTATGATTATTACAATTAACTTCAATCTTATCCAACACAGCAATAGTAATTTTTTAAATAAACATAGTAGTAGTCTTTATTCTGATTCAGGCCTTATTCTCTCCTTTAAACTGGAGGAAAAGAGAAGAAATTACAAAGGATCACACAACTTCCACTACTCCGGGCATGTCTTTATATACTTTCATTTAACCCAAGAACACAGTGGCTCTTTACTAAAAGAAAGGCTTGTTTTAATCTTGCTAATGCTTCTAAATGTCACGTCTTGTGTTCTGCTCCCAGCTGTCTCCATGCTGCTCTCTAACACTGCATTGATGGAGCTTTTACAGAGCATCGTCTACTGTCCTTCGTCACCCTCATCCTCAGCAGCTCTTCTGTGCCACAGCCACCACCTCCTGTCCTCTCTCATTATGTTGCAGAAGGTTCATTCGGCAAAGGTACAGTCTAGCTTTCTATTATCTGAATAAGTTCAAAGCTTTTTTCAGTATTGATACAATGTATTTATAATAGTGTGAAGTAATCAGAATTTGTGCTAACTGAGTTTGAGGAACAAATGCTTTGAACCAATTGTTGCTTTGAAACACCATTCGCAGTATGTGTGTGTGTCCGTGTGTGTGCGTCCGTGTGTACTGTATATGTGTGTGCGTGTCCGTGTGTATGTGTGCATCTGTGTGTATATGTGTGTGCGTGTCCGTGTGTATGTGTGCGTCTGTGTGTTTTTAAGGTCCATAAAAGCATCAGTTGGAGTCTGGACAAAGCCATTCAACTGCTCATTTTTCATAAAAGGAACACCGACAGTTTCTTGCTGGGTAATTAAAGCAACCTGACATTTTCTCAAACCTAAAGCTGTTCAGAGTATCTAATATATTCACTTGTCATCTGGGTTACACATGCCCTGTATCGGTTTAATACTGTGCATTAGGAGCTGACGTTGTGCTACTTTCATTTACACAAAGTGGCAGATCTTCCAGCACGGCTCACTCACAGATCGTTCTCTTTCTTGTGTCTCTCTCAGCTCGATAAGTGGTCTGTCAGGGTCTGTGTGATGCATGGCCTCTTCCATTCATCCTCCCTGTCATTCTCTGCCCCCTGCATGGTCACTAATTGAGACCTCCCTCCCCAGAGAGCAGTAAACTGAGAAATTGTGGTCAGGGTATAGTTAGGCGACGGCACGGGTCATACATAGCGTATGTCTTTGGTGGAGAATGTCCCTTTCTTGTTGTCCATCACTTAACCGTACTTTTCAAAGCCATTTCTAGCCCTGCCGTTACCCCCCTGAATACACTTTATTATACCCCACCGAGGCCTGTCACAATAATTACTATAGTGAGCTATTTAGTGATTTTGCGATTTGATGAATTTTGACCGTGCGTGTGTATTTGCTTTCAGAGCTTTCTCAGATCAATGCTGCCACAGTTTCTCTTATCGATGCTGTGTCTGTAACTGCTGCGTCAGTGCCCCCTGAGCAGTAATTATAGAATATTTAGGAGTCAACCAGATGATCTTTTGTTGTATGAAAAGCTTACTGCTTTAAATACACCAGAGTTAGCTCAAGGCTCATTTTGTTAAGGAAATTTATTGAAGAGGAATGATCTATATACTTGTTATTGATAAGAATATTCCTATTCTGGGTTATTCATAGAGAGAATGTTCAGCATAGTCCTAATTGTTTTACTTTTTATATGCAGATAACAAGTTCCTTCAATGATTGCATTATTAGAGAGAGCGAGAGACATTGTTGATCCCTTTAGGAGATATTTCCAATTGTGTTTTGTTTATCATGGCAGGTCTATTCCCTACTAGTAATTACACTTGCATATACAATATACCTGTCTATTTCCTTTGCTATCTCGTGATTGAGTTTGTTTTCTCCACAGTGAGTTACCTGAGGCTGCTGCAAGCTCTTCTTGATGTGGACTTTGCATCACCGGTGCTGTGTGTAGGCACTGCTCCCTGCATAGGAGGCTCCAGGCCGCTGGGGGTTGAGGACGGAATGTTGTACCCACTCGGGTCAAAAGGAGCCCAGTTCCTCTCTATTGCTCTCAATGAACTACTTTTGCAGGTAGCATCTTTGTGAATGGGGCCAATCTGTGCTTTATATAGCTATAGCTTTGCGCGTTCACCCTTGCACACACATTGTCACATAAACTGGGAAATCATAGTGAAATTAAACTTTGATTTAGACTCGGAGGACATAACCTGCTCATGTAAACTTACTCAAGACTTTTCAACTATTACTATTTAGTGTCAAACAAGAACTTTTTTAAACTTCTAGTCTGACCTGCTGTGACAATGACCACACTTCAATTATTAAACGTCACTGGCAGGAGGATGAAATTCATTTTGAAGCCTGCCACATTTTCCTTCTCCAGGGCTCTCAATGTGTTGCAGACATTGGGCTGAGCTAAGCTTTAGAGTTATGGTTCAGCATTCTGCACTCTGCCATCAAAAAATGATGGAAAGAATCCTCTCTTTTTTTCTTTGTGACTAAGTTTTCCTCCTGATGCTCTTGCTTAAAGCTGAATAACACATACAGCATTGGAAGAACATTCTTTCTATCCTCTCTGTGCTTTACCAGCGCAGCACACTTCAGTTCTTTATTCCAACTTTTGGATCCTATTTTCCACTCCTGGATTACACTGCTCTCTACCTCATCCGCCTGGCCTACTTCAGTATTTTTGGACACATAGTGCACAGCCTGCTTCACTTCTGTGTGAGGAGCATACATAGGGCGGCACGGTGGCTGAGTGGATAGCACTCTCGCCTCTCAGCAAGAAGGTCCTGGGTTCGAATCCCGGCCGGACCAGGGCCTTTCTGAGTGGAGTTTGCATGTTCTCCTTGTGTCTGCGTAGGTTTCCTCCGGGTACTCCGGTTTCCCCTACCACTAAAAATATGTACAATAGGTCTGGCATGCGCCTCCTGTTCGGCGACCCCACTCCCACTCTCTGTGTGGAGTGAGAGGACAAATGCCCAAAAAATAACAATTGTAAACCGCTTTGTGACTCTGGTCTGTGAAAGGCGGTATATAAATAAAACTTACTTACATTGTTAAACCTTTATTTTGTATTTAGTCTCTTGTTCTCATTCTTTTTGTTTCCTGGTTTTATTCACAAATAGTCAAGTACAGTTTGATGGTTCATAGGTTGTACCTCTGTATTTCTGTACTGTTTTGGGTTAATCCTATATCTATAAAGATTAAGAGATCCTTTATTTGTCACACAGTTAGGATTATGTAGGGCACTAGAACACTGATATTTTAAGACCATGAAGCTTCAGGAGCAACAAGTTTTACTTCTAATGTATTTTAAATTGACACCGGGCTTTCTTCTCCCAATGTCACCCAGGCCAACTTCCTCTTAAGATTAAGAGATCCTTTATTCATCCCTCAGTGGGGAATTTTCAGAGGAACGGGTCGGGCTAGCTTGCTGGCTGTGTCCACTCCTTCTATCGTCTATATCTGCCTATATGTGTTTCAGAAGTATGAGGTGTTGCTGGGAGCCTCAGTAGACTGCCTGAACTCTCTCCTGGGTTTCCTAACGAGAAAGAGCCCGGCTACAGGTACGGTCAGTAGTTATTGTTTAAGTAAAACAAATGCAGTCCTTCTTGTAGAATTGTTGAATCGTTTGTTGTGTATATGTTGTTATACAATACATTCAAAAGGCTGGAGACCCCTGTACTAAAAGAACAGTTCCATCTCTACACAAGGCGCACTGATGACACATGATTTTATATGTATTTTTTTAGCACTATATATTGTGTGTCAGCCCTGGTTTCGATTCCTGCTCTTCTGTTTGGTTGAGTCTGGAGAAAGTATCCTCCTACATCCTGCCACTCTTCGGCTGTTCACACTGGTGAGGAACTTAACACTTTGCCTCATCTCGATTCACATCACTGAACACATGTCAAGATTTAATTCATCACTAAATATCCTGATATCCTCTTTTACTGACTGTAAGTCTTCCATAAAATACATCATCTCTGTTTTGAGATTGTGATGTTGTTACCGGAATAGTGCCTATAGTGTTGTGAACTTGTGATACACAGAAGAATGCTTATGAGGAGAATATGACCACTGCTCAGAGAGTTTTCCAACCTCACTCTTGCCTTTTATAATGTTCAGAAAATTACTGTGTGTCTTTATGTGGTGCAAACAACAGACAACAGTCATGTAAGTGGTGTGTTGTGTGCAGCTGCTGAGGCACAACAGCACAGCAGTGTTGTGGGAGCCGGACCTGCTCAAACTGATGGAGGTCTTGGAGAAAACAGGAATGAAGGAGCTCAGCCCGGAAGCAGCAGAAGCCCTACGCCAGCTTCTCACACAGGTACCAGCTTCTCACACAGGTAGCACCAGAGAAGTCCAGTGCACTGATAAAAACACTGAAGTATTTGGTTTGCCGTCTCTTCACTATTTACACCATTCTGAATAATGATCGACAGTGCCCCAGTTAAGCATTGAGATTTAGAAATGATGTGTCGGCCTCAGGCATCAAGAAAAGCTCTGACGTTTAAAGTAGTGGTGTCTCAACTACACACATTTTATTATTTATTTCCCAATATTTTGTCTTGTTACAACCACAAATATTTTATTAGGTTTTTTTACCCGACAAAAAAGCGACAGTGACTCAGTTGGTAAACCATTGGCCTGCTGGCAGAGAATCGCTGGCAGAGAAGCCATCTTCCTGTGGCCTCACCACCTGCTGGAGGATCAGTGAGGGACCGGTGCTATGAGCATTTTGTGGCAGCTCTGATTGACTAAGTTTCTTGTTTTGTTTTACACTAGAAAGTAACTAATCCAAGATTAAATGTAAGGAGTAGTAAATACAGTTAAAACTGAACTTTTACCCTGTTAAAGCTCATTAGATGCACTTTAATGTAATGTAATATAATTATTGTATATTCTAGCAAAAGCAGATTTCTACAGTCTCACATGTATGAAAATATATTTATTTGTGTTGTAAATATTATCTTATACTTGGCTATTGCACTACTGGTTAGATGCTAATCTGCATTTTGTTGCATTGTTCTGACTTTGTAATGACAATAAAATTGAATCTAATCTAATCTAAAAAAGTTGAAGTAAAAAGTAATGTAGAGATACCAGGAAGTCTTTGTAGAAGATTTAAAGCAGTTATAAGTACCGTCTTTTTCTGAGTATAAGTCACACCAGCCGAAAATGCATAATAAAGAAGGAAAAATACATGTCAACACTAGAGTAAAATTTGCATTTTTAATAGCTTAAGCGCTCAACTTAATACCCCGGTCTATTATTTGATATTTTATGGTAAATAAAATATAAAGTGTAATAATTTCACACATAAGTCACGCCCGGCCAAACTATGACAAAAACTGCAATTTATAATCCGAAAAATACGGTAATCAATTTTCAGTGACTTACTTCACAGCACAAGCAGAAATAAGATCTGAGACTCAGACAGAGTTGCAGCCTCGTCCCTTTGTGTAGTTGGGATTTGGCATCATATAGGATCAGAAAAGTGTTTAGTATTCTGAAAGTAGATCAGAATCGCAGAGGTGACAGAATGATGGCACAGTCTGCACCTCTCGGCAGCGGTGTGAATGCAGCGCACACCTCTTTGCACATCTCTCTGTCAGTGAGAGCAAGTATCCATTCATTTGTAGAGACACAAAAACCCGCCCTTCTTCCGCCAGCTCGAGTTGAGCCACTCATTTTTGTCAGTGTCCCCATGAAGGATTTCGCTGTCTTGTTGTGCTTAAAGCACTAGTATTTTTATTTGCGCTATTCTAGAGGATGACCACAGTCAACTAGATTATTAATCTTCAGAAAATCATGTTCTGCCATCTTCCCACGGTGGGGGATTGTGGTACCAGATGATCCCTGCTGCATAAGGTGCAAAGTGACGGGTCAAGCAAAGTGCAGTCTGAATACTCCCATGGATAGTTAAAAATTGTGTGATGTTGCCCTTGCAGGTCAGGTGCAGAGAGGAGGTTTGCTTCAGGATGAGAATTCTCAAATTGTATAAATGTTGCATAAACATTGGATAATCATTGTAATATGATAACTTTATTAAATTACCCATCTAATACATATCATTATTTTGATATTTCAAATCTACAAAACATAAAGATAATTTCTATAGCTCTTTCCGGTACATAGGCCACACAGAGAAAATAAAAGTGAGAACAAACTTCTGATAATGAGTCAGAGTCAGTGCTTATATTTTTTGGAACTTGATAAAGTGCTGAGCAGCTGGTCTGCCGTGGACAGCGAGCTGAGAAAGATGTCACGCTGAATGATGACAGCATTGGCTGCTCTGACATCTCCAGACAATCTCAGCCTACACACTGTTCTACAAATTCATAATATTATCAAGTCTCTTGTAAAATACTTTTAATTTTCTTAGACTTTTGGAAAATCACCCAATAGATCTTTTGCCAGATGAAGGTAGAGTGTGGATGCTTATTAAGCAGGTGTTCAAGCTTTATAAGTGAACCACTAGAATCCTTGTTTTGTTTACTTTCATAAAGGTACAACAATTCAGCTGAAGTGTTATTGTGCACAGTCGCCCTGCATCTGCCTCACTATTCTGTCTTGTTCTTGCAGATTCAGCTCAGCACATTGCGCCCGCCTCTCACAGATCGAGATGAGCAGCGAGTCAGAAGCCTCCTGGAGTCCCTCAACCCACAGACAACAAACATCTAGTAAACTATTGTATAAAAACTCTGCCTGGAGGACCTGTTCTCTAGAACAGACCACAAATACTCCTTCAAAGATAACACACAACTATAAACCTTTGCTTGTCTACTGATTTGGAGTTTTTGGACTTGGCAAAGGCAAAGATGCCTCCACCTGTTAAGTCGCTTCAGAATTATTATTTAATAAACTGTTCAGTTCAAATATTTCTACTTTCCTTCTATCCACACATTATTATTTTTTTCAGACTTGACAAAAACCTTAATTTACTATATGGCTGTATATTACACTGAAGATACCATGTGGATCATACGAATCACACCGTCTGAGATCTGAATATGCATAATGAAGCGGAACCGATATTATAATAAATATGAGCGGAACGCACGCGCCCCACGCTCTGGTGTCCTCCGCTAAATGGTCCGTGCGGAAAGCTTCCTCCTCAGTCTGCTCGGCTGTCACTCGCTCAGAGACTGTGATCGTGGCGCCTGTGGATAAGTGAGAGCTGCACGTAAATGAGCACGTTCAGCCTCGTTCTCTGACGGTCTTAGGGGCACAACGTGTCTGCCCCGGATGCACAGATCACCACGCTGACTTGGAGAGGACCTGTGTGGAGGTGAGAGGCTGAAGGAGGAAGAAGCCTGACCGCGGACCGCCGCTGCTACACGGTGAGTACAGGCTTCTTCTTGGTCCCTCTTCATCGTGAGTTGATGTGGGTCGGCACCGGACTGGCTCATTGCAGAACTCATAGATCTGTACCCATATCAATAAATGCGCAAGTATCTGTTATAGTCCCACCTCTGACTGAATATTATCTTATGTCAAATAACGTTTATTCCACACATTTTGCTTTGGAGAAGTAGCACAAATGTCATCTCCGGAGTGCTTTGGCTGGAGGCTTGAACTTGTGTGATGAACTAGGTGCGGGTTTGGTAAGTGATAGTCCTCCTGACAGTGTTTAATCAGATATACGCATGTCCAGTGTGAAGGATGACAGAGGGAGAGCCTCACTTACACAGGGACAGATGAAGCTGGCATCTCTGCTTCTCAAACCCCCGCAGCAGCAGGCTCTCAGCCCGGGGGAAATTTGACTCTGCTGCTGCTCCACATCAAGCCCCTCTTCTGGGTTACCCACCAGCTCCTCAAGGGTCAGTGGCTGTCACTTAGAATGAGTGTCTCACAAGTGCCTGCTTAATACAAGAGTTCTATGTCTGCACTTGATTGGGACTTGTTCTCTCCTGTTATCCCTGTCTTTCATTGTGAGAGGCCTATTTCACACTTTATTGTAAGATTACATGAGTGGCTATACTCACATGTCAGTCCAATGATCATGATTTGACATGGGAGCTGACTGTCTTTCTGTCACAGCTAAGTCGTCTCTTACCTGTGCTCATTTGTATTCTGCTGTAACTGCAAAGCAAAAATAAATAAATGATTGTGAAGGTGTGTTGTTTGTGCGTGAGCATTAGCGAGTTGGAAAAATAGGAGGCAGAGTTAGTCCAGCAGGAGACCGGACAGTGCTGTCATCAGTGCTGTATGTGACATAAGAACCTGCTTTATCTAGTGCTGTCACGACCAGAAAGGAAAAAAAACCTTCTGTACTTTTTGTCCAATATGTCATTTCTTATTTTCAGCATGACAACTTATTCTGCTGCCTATGCTTTATTTCCCAGACCGCCCCTCTATAATGCACACTGTGGTCGCATGTGTGCATTTACTGGACACATTTAGACTCCTCTCTGTGCTGAGTGGCCACATTAGAGATGATCGATCCTCTCTTGATCTTCTCGGATACTTTGGATCAAAATGGCTAATTTAACTCCATATTTCTCCAAATTTCTACAGTAAAAGTTTCTGGTCTTTGGTACAGTGGTAGAGGGCAATCCATGAGGTCATGAATCCAGTGAAATTAGTCGCACACCTTTTTACAGTAATAAGTTACAGTAGATCAAAAGTGACATGTTTTGACCATTTTTAGGCTATTTTGGACCAAAATGACTACTTTAAATCAATATTTCTCAATATTTTTACAGTAAAAGTTCCTGGTCTTTGGTACAGTGGTAGAGGGCAATGTTGAGGTCATGAATCCAGTGAAATTAGTCGCACACCTTTTTACAGTAAGAAGATACAGTAGATCAAAAGTGACATGTTTTGACCATTTTTAGGCTATTTTGGACCAAAATGGCTACTTTAAATCAATATTTCTCAATATTTCTACAGTAAAAGTTCCTGGTCTTTGGTACAGTGGTAGAGGGCAATGTTGAGGTCATGAATCCAGTGAAATTAGTCGCACACCTTTTTACAGTAAGAAGATACAGTAGATCAAAAGTGACATGTTTTGACCATTTTTAGGCTATTTTGGACCAAAATGACTACTTTAAATCAATATTTATCAATATTTCTACAGTAAAAGTTCCTGGTCTTTGGTACAGTGGTAGAGGGCAATGTTGAGGTCATGAATCCAGTGAAATCAGTCGCACACCTTTTTACAGTAAAAAGTTGCAGTAGATCAAAAGTGACATGTTTTGACTATTTTGGAGGTATTTTGGACCAAAATGGCTTCTTTAAATCAATATTTCTCAATATTTCTACAGTAAATGTTTCTTGTCTTTGGTACAGTGGTAGTTTTGTGTATTTTGGACTAAAACGTGTAATTTGTCTCAATTTTACCCACAATTTCCAAAGTAAAGGTTTGTGGTTGTAGGCACAGCGGTGAAGGCAGTGGTGAGGTCATACACCCAGTGGAATAAGATACTCAAGTCTTTACTGTAAAAATGGACAGCAGCTGAAAATTTCACTTTTTGACCAAATTAAATGTCGAACATTTTAAGTTTTTACATGCTTTTCCAAATAAGGGTTTATTCACAAAACGAGTCTCCTAAGCGCGCTTTCTGTTCGAGGAGAAAAGCTGACTGCGAAAGGCTGTTCTGCTATTACCGTAAGCAGTCAACAAAACGCGCACTGCTTTCTCTCGATGCGGGCCGTTTTACTTCGGAGGTGAAAGATGCGGCCCACTTTACCGCGGTCATCCTGAGTGGGCAGTTTTAACTTTAAATGTATTAAAAATGAAATTCCTATAGTTTGAATAAATTAACAATGGTTGAAGTATCAATGGTACGGCCCTCACCTTAATAAACCACCATTTTGTACAGGATGGAGTCTGGTATTTCATTTCTCTTTGAAGTTATCGAATCTGTGTGTCTTTGGTATTTTCCATGGCGTTGCTGATCATTACTTTCACTCATTTATCCAGGCATTCAATTTTGGTACATTCATTTAAATCTATTCCCATATCTTTTCAATATGCCACATAAAGAAGGACAGCTCTTTGCGATTTTGCATGCCCGTAGTATATGATGCCTGTAGTATATGATGGACCATACACAACACGATGTGTCTAATTCTCAGCAGCCTACCTGGACGATGTGGTTGAGTACAGTGGCTCCAAGGAACAACACCTACACCACCTCTAGGAGGTCTTACAGAAGATCAAAGTGCAGGGTTCACCGTCAACCCCCGTAAGTGTTCAGTGTCCCACCAGGAGGTGGAGTATCTGGGCTTAACAATTGGCTTCGGGAGGATCAAGCCACAGGTGAACACAATGGAGGCTGTCTTCCTGTTCTCAGTCCCCACCACAAAAAATTAAGGTGAGGGAATTTATTGGACTAGTCGTCAGCAGGTACAGAACATTTTTACCAAACTTTTCTGAACCATCGGTCATCTTAACAAATCTCATGAAGAATGCAGCTCCAAACAAAGTCCGCTGAACAGAAGAGTGCAAGCAGGCCTTTAAAGGAACCCGATTTTAGTCAGCCCTTCATTCTCCAGACAAACACCACAGAACAAGAGCTGGGAGCTGTCCTGATACAGGAGAAAGAGGGGGAGAGGAGACCGGTTGTGTTCCTCAGTCAGAAGCTGGATCGTGAAACGAGGTACTCAACAGTTGGAAAAGAGTGCCTGGCGGTAGAACGGGCTGTTGATTCTCTCCGATACTAGCTGCTTGGACATTACTTTGTGCTTGAAACCGATCACTGCGGTGGCTCCAGTGGTTTCACAGAATGAAGGATGCTAACAACCGCATCACTGGATGGTACTTCTCACTGCAGCCCTATGTCTTCACAGTCCAGTATCGCCCGGGAAACTTGAACGTGGTTGCAGACAGTCTATCCAGAAGTGTAGAAAATGGAGGCTTCACCATGGAGGCTACACATGCACTTTATACACTTATACAGTATTTATTTAAAAGCTTGTTGGTTGCCTTTAGGTCTGGTCGGGTGCGTTCAGGTGTTCTTAGAGGGGGCCTCCCCCATTGCTGTACACTATGGCACTACACATTACAGTGACAAAGTACTAGTTATAATTCACTTGAAGATGCTGACAATAATGTAAATAGTATATTCAGGCTATAGACTTAAGTTTTATGTCTTAAGAAACTTGTGCTGGTCCTCCTCTGCACAAGCACCGGTGATTGTTAGAGGTGTTTTTGATTAGTCAACGACTAATTTGTGTGAAAAAATAAAACAACAGTACTGTGTGTATTCTTTGTTTGTAGGTATAGAATACTAGTACAGTGTCAGTGAGATTTTGAGTGAAAAGCAGGCCATTTGTCTTGCCTAAGGTCTGACTGTTCAGGTTTTCACTTGGCACCACAGAAACCCTGGCAGGTCAGGAAGTACAAGAACCTTTACCTGTATGTTATACATTATACTAGAGCCATGATATTATATAAGTATTTGACGCCATCTGCTGGTCATAAAGTGGTAATTTCCTTCTTCTCGTTTTCGTCGCGGTTGAACAAATTGTTAGATTTTTGATCCCGTCTTTTTTAAAGGACCGGGCCTCAAAACGTGATGTTAGTTTCTTTTTAGCGAAAGCCTACATGTGAAAGTGTGTTTTCAAATTGAAGAATTTGTATTTCAGTGTCATGAGCGGTAGATTTGCATGCATGTTCAGGTCACAAACCGGGGCGTGTTTCCTTATTGCTGCAGCTTGACGGAGGCGTGAGCCGTGGATCCTCGGCCACGTCACCTCCTCCAGCCCCCGCTCCTCCAGCCCCCGCTTCTCCAGCGCTCAGCTGAGTTGGCACAGGACAGATGCCTCGTCTCTGAACACGTTTTGGATCCTACGGATTAAGATCCTGTGGACTGGGGCCATCGCTTTGCGCAGTGTTATGTTGTGTTCGCTTCTTTCAGACTCTTTCTAACTCACGTCTTCACTTCTGCGCCTCCGTTGGGTTGAGGTTGACTTTTGGGGCCCTGCAAAAGTTTGGGTCGTGGACAAAAAGTGCAATCATGAACATATTTCGACTTGCGGGTGACATGTCACATCTTGTGGCCATTATTATTCTTTTACTGAAGATTTGGAATTCCCAGTCATGTTCTGGTAAGTCAAGAAGCTGCATCTGAAACTCGTTTTCTGTTCATGGTTCAAATGCATGGACGAGACTAAGCAGCTACGTGGCATAGTTCACATAATCTCTATTGCCACTTTTTGTTCTTTTTGACTCAATTCCTTTATTTTGTTTTATCTTTAAAGGCATTTCTGGGAAGTCTCAAATGCTTTTCGCTCTGGTCTTCACCACCAGATATTTGGACCTATTCACTGTTTACATATCTGCTTACAACACCATTATGAAGGTAGGTCCTGCAGACCCCCCACAGGTCTGTTGTAATTAAGTTGGGTATCATTTAAACTGAAGAATGTCAGACCCAACTTTCAATCTTTCAAAAGATTGACCTATACTCATGGACCTATACTCCATAAGTGAACCAAGTGCAATTATGGCTATGAGGTTTATTCTATTATCTTATTTATTTTTATATTTCATGTATCATATCAAATCATTTTTCTGTGATCTTAAATATTAGATCCTCTTTCATGTGTGCAAAGTGTTCTTATTTGCACAATGACATTGAAATGTGTCCACTGTGGGACGAATAAAGACATATCTTATCTATGTCACTGAAATCTATCCAACTTGTTCCACGCTCTTAAAATATTGCTTTAGAGCAGCATTTTCAGACAAAAAACTGAAAAAGTGGACTTCTCTCACTCAACCATTTGGCTCTCAGCCCAAAGCGTCAAGAAGTGACTGACAGGGCTCATTCTCACACAAATGCATAAGATTTGAGCATGTTGTGCTTCTGTTCTGACTCATTCTGTTGGGACAAACTAAATGTATTAATTAATGAAACATTAAAGTTACTGTAGGTGCTCTAGCTTTAATTAGGTACCCATTACATTATAGACTCTCAACTTTCTCCGTGTTCCGCTGTACTCAGGTGGTGTTCCTGGCTCTGTCCTATGCCACAGTGTACATGATCTACGTGCGCTTCAAGAAGACGTACGACTCTGAAAATGATTCATTTCGAGTGGAGTTCCTCTTGGTGCCTGTTATTGGCCTATCCTTCCTGGAGAACTATGCTTTCACCCCAATGGAGGTAGGAATATATGTCACTGTGGTTTGTCTTTTGGCTTCTTACTGGGCTATATCTTTGTAATCACTCGTCCTCAGATTCTGTGGACCTTTTCCATCTTTCTGGAAGCTGTTGCCATCATGCCCCAGCTCTTCATGATCACCAAGACGGGGGAGGCGGAGTCCATCACTACACACTACCTGTTCTTCCTGGGCCTTTACCGAGCCTTGTACATCGGCAACTGGATGTGGAGGTACCACACGGAAGGCTTCTTTGACCAGATCGCTGTGGTGTCCGGCGTCGTGCAGACTATATTCTATTGTGATTTCTTCTACCTTTACGTCACAAGGGGTATGTAACTGCTACACTACTATATTACACTGTAGCTACTACACACATGCTTACAAAAATAATGTTTTACACAATTCATCTTGTGTAGTTATCTTTAGGAAGAGCTGTCGGTACATCTGCTCTATCTGATTATATGTGTCCATCATGTGTCTTTTATCTGCAGTGCTTCGTGAAAGAGGAAAAATGTCGCTTCCAATACCTGTGTAAGAATGAGACCCCCCAAGTCATGGACCACCATGTGCCTGCCATATCTACACATCCACTATAATCAACAGAAACTGTAAATATAATATTAAGGGACAACAATGGATTCGACTGGTACAATAACTCAAACTCACTTTTTTATATCTGAAAGTAATAGGGAATGTAGCCATGTTTTTGATCCTTTTTATTTGATTGGGTTCTGCTGCGTTTATGCCATTTTGACATGCTTTTGAAGTGCTTCCAAGCCAGATGTTCACAAAATGTGTTTATATAGCTGTGTATCATGAAGCAATTCCCCCCCAAAAAAATATTTTGAAGAATATTTTTGCAGAATTGAACACCATTTATACGTTTTAATATAAATCACTTTTTTCTAATTCACTTATGTTGACTGTTCTTTTACCAGGATGTTTACCTTGGTCTGCTCCACCCATGAAAGTACACGTCACTCTATCATTGTTGAATGTCATATGGTTGAAATGGTTGAAAGACAGCTCTATTCTCTCAATGCAAGAAGGTTTTGCGGTGCTTGTACAAGACTTTGGTTCCTTCTCTCACGGCTCCTTCGACCGCTTTTGCTGCTGAACTTATGGAAAGCGGAGATGCAGCTAAAGCAGCGACTTTCTTCACCATTTTTCCTTTCCCCTTGTTTTTACCCACAATCCCTGCTCCTTCCACGGCACCTTTGCCCATCGCCGTCATCAGCTCACACCAGAAAAGTCTCTCTGCTCGTTTTCTGGCCTCCTCTTCGTCCGGCTTTACTCCAACTCCCTCTGCTTGCAGCTTCTGCTCACCTGCATTTTCACCCATCATTCTCTGTTGAATTTCTGACAGGGCCCGCTCGGCTTCTTTAAACATCTCTCTGGTATAATAGCCATCATCATTTGCAGCCACCAATGTGTCTATCTTCTTCATGAGGGCCACTGCCTGCTCTGAACCTTCAGTTTTGCTATTATCAAAGACATGAAAGCCTCCATGACAGCTAGTGACAAACTCTAACAACTCAACGCAGTCTGCAACATAATCCTCTATCGGTTTTCCCTTGAGCTGCTCTCCACGAGTGAACAAAACTAAAACATACTTCAAAACACCGGATCCAAAAGTTGCCTTAATCCAGTCCAAGCAGTCCTTCTCTTCTCGACTGAATTTGCCAATCTGAAGAGTGAGTATAAAAACATGGGGTCCAAGTGAGTAGAGTTTAATGCATTGTCCCATTTCGTCTATGACCTCCTGAAGGGACATACTAGTGTGGTAGAAGCCAGGGGTGTCCACCACAGAAATGCTCCACTTGTCTCGCTGTCCGCTTTGTTTTGTGCACTTGGAGGTGAGCGAACAGGGCGAAGTTTCCACCCAAAATGCATTTCTCCCCAGTAATGTGTTGGCTGCAGAGCTTTTGCCACTGCCGGTCCTCCCCACAAGAACTATTCTTCTGTCACATTCAAGGCCGTGGGCAGATGAAGGCCGATCTGTAATATAGAATTATTTATTGTTGTTGCTATACTCAATGCATTAAATGTGTTTTTTTTTTAAAGCCATGCACAACTGTAGTGCTCTTGGAGGACTTTACAACACTATCAAATTCTCTATTGGATAATCACTATGAATTAAATCAATAAGAAGCCTAGCTAATCACTTCAAATCTGTTGATTTTGACGTGTGCAAAGTATCATGCATTTAAGGGGTTGAAAAGTGGATTAAAAAGTAAAGATAAGTTACCTGATAAATAATTAGTATAAGTAAAGAACTGATACCAGGAAAAAAAATACTTTTTTACTTCAGTATAAGTACTTAATTAAAAATGCTTTAAGATACTTTTCGTTAGTAGCCAGCTCTGCAAACAAAATAATACACAGAAATATTGTTTGCATTAATACTGTAGCCTGCATGAATGTAAGTGCATATCTCACAAGCAGAATTGAACATATAACATATCTAAACATCTGGAACAAAGGAGGTTCTATGAACATATATAATTCTAAATAGATTAAATAGAAAAACATATCTGCCCAAATTTCCTGATTTCAAACAAATAAAAATGCAATAGAGATGAAATGATCGTGGAGCGAGCCTCGGATGCTGTGATTTACATGGACCTTTCAGTGACGCAGCAGTTTCCTCCTTCGCCATCTCCGCGGCCTGGATCGTGACTGGAACAGCGGCTGCGGCTGTTGTGCTTCAGTCTGTAGAAGACCTTTTATCAGTGAGATGTTATGTCTATGGTCCAGACACATCCATGAGACGCATGCGTCTGTGCACGTGAGCGCAGCTTTGACCACGTGACTCATCTGAGGCGAGTTCAACTCTACTCTTATCCGTAAAAACTGTAAACTTTACATATTGTTTTTTGTGTCTGACATGAAATAAAAAGACCTTATATATTTGTATTATCTGTGTGCGCAGTCTGGTAACTGTTCTTATGTTGTCCACTTGGTGGCACTAGAAGAAAACACAGTAGACGTGTACTTGTACTTTATACAGCTTTTACTCTTTGTAAACATACATAAAACATATCGGAGTACCTAAAGCTTGGCATTGTTTTAGTTTATTGCATTACATCACCTTTCTTTCACACATTAAATGTGTTTTTTGGTGTTTGCCTTATAGTTATAACAGTTTTCACACACATACACCCTGTACACCGGAGAAATGATAAAGCTTTGTTAAATATAACTACATGTGCATTCTATAGTAGATATATCAGTCAAACAATATAAAATCATTTGTCTGTTTTAGGAGTACAGCAATAGAAGTATACTACAGATTTCTCAAAGTGTAGTGTGTTATAAATATATATATTTAAAGTTAAATAGATTATTGTTTTCCCTAATTGTGTTTTTCTTCAGATGAAATTACACTTCAGTTACCCTGATGCTCTTGGGCTGCGTTGGACGTTATCTCAAAGACCAGTTGAAGGTAAGTTGGGTGATTGGGACATCAGGCTTTTCGGACATCCCTGTCTAGCACCAAAACATAATCTGCTATTGTATAAATAACTCAGAACAAAGCATCGTGTTATCATTTATTTGTGCTATGGCGGCCGAACCTTGTAACTATTCTTCTTATCACAGTAGTTCTGCAACCTTTAATCTGAAACACGCAGGTCCCAAATTCAGAGAAGGCTTGGTTGAAAAATAGGCACAGAAAGAGAGCAATCTTTATTACCTAATCTGAGTGTATTCTAATCCAGGTAAATGAAACCTAACTGATTGTAGCTTTGTCAGGACGAACTGTTGGCCGGTCTGTCCCACTCCACCTGGCTTCTTACAGGAAACCCTGAGGGCATCTGCAGCTTGGTGTCATCAGAGGCAAAGTCTAAGGGGTACATTGGTCTTCCTTCGCCTTCAGCGAGAGGCATCACTGTACCATGAAGTTCCATGTTCTCCTTGAGAGCAACATGGCTGCTACTAGACTCTGACCCAAACCCACCTCCACTAGTTAGAAGTGGATTTTCCAAGTTGAAAATAGTATTACTTTCATTGATCCCTAGCCCAAAGCTTTCAAGCATCTCCATGACAGTGGGGCCGGAGGGGTCACTGGGGATCTGCTCTTCAATGAGAGTGAGAGTGGGTATAATATCCACCAGCTCAGCCATCTCCATTGGTCGGATGACGTCTGTGATGCTCGAGGCGTACTCCGGCTCGTCACTCAGAGGGACGTCCACATTTAAAACTTGATAACCCACTTCTAGTTGAGCCGCAGCTGCAGGCTCCAGTCCTGCTTCAACCAAAGTGCTGGCACATATTAAATCGGGCTGGTCCAGGCTGGTCAGGTCCACAGTGGATGGAGAGGTGATGTCGACCGGGTATCCTCCCTTTGCAACACCTTCCATTAACACCAGAGGGGGCTCTTCTGGGATAGCTGTGATGATCCCTGTGGGAGCGGGGACCTCTGCGGAGACTATGTTTGGTGGAGTCACGTTCACATTTTCTAAAAAGCAAAGAGACTTTTAGTGGTTTAAAGTTGTACACAAGTTGTGGATTTTTTTTATCATATGTGAGTCGCGATGTCAGTCAGCTGGGGAGTCCAACTTTGAATAGATCGTCTCAACAGAGTAAAAGTAAAATGTTTCAAAGCACATGCTGTGTTCAACATATTAGAAAACATGTAATCAGCTCTGTGTCTGACAATGCTATCTTGTCACAGACAATCTATTACAAATATTAGAAAACACTGACAACTAGATATAGTTAAAGAGATGACAGTACGTTTATTTTGCCAAAAGTTAGAAAATCACTGACTCAGAGATGTCTGTAATTTCATGGGGCTCTCAACAAAGAGATGAATATATGAAATTCCTTTTTTGTATTTAAAGGGCCCCATATCACGGTTTTTGACTTTTCTCTGCTTTAAACATGATTACAATGCTATTTGGCCTTCATACACAAGCCCACAGTAGTTTATTAATTGATTCTGTCAATCTTTTGTAAGAGAGCAATCTGTCTCCTTCCTCAGCGTGAGGCACAGAAACGCTCGGGTCCACTTCAGTGACGAAAACCACACTGATGACGCGCATGACCCGTTTGCTTTGTATTTAAAATAGTTGTTAAATACTTTTGTCAAAACGGGGTAAAGAATACACAATTAGTATGCTGTTTTTTTGTCAAAAATAATAAAAATAAAAATAAATTAAAAGCCGGCGGGAGGTGATTGACGGATCAAAACAGCGAATCAGAGCGCACAGGCTCCGGCTCCCGAGTCCAGCGTCTGTGGTCTGGTCTCACGGACACCACATAGAGCTGCTGTTTTTATGCTTTTGTCAGCGACTAAAAGTGTTAGGATCACGTCAACTTGAATGAAGTGTGTTATGGGTGTAAATATGTGACACACTATTTGGCCCTAAGAGGAAGAAAGCGGCTCGACTTTTTTCATCTGTTGATCTCATGGATCTATTATAATACCGGTTCATCTGCGACACTTCACTGAGACTATTCCAGAACTACAGGGACAATGGAACTGGACTTACTCAAAGGCTGATCTGGAAACACGTTATTCCCACGGTAAAAGACGTAACTTGGACCCCCTCGATCTGTAAGTAGTGACGCTAACTCGCTGTATACTTCTGTAAACTAAATAACTAGGGTCTGATTGTGCATCGAGGACATAGGGCTCGATGTGACGGATTTTCATTGTTGGAAAAAGTTTATTCTTATGTATGAAATTACTAAGTACAGGTGATAAACGACAAAAGCGTGATGCTACGTCACCGTGCGGGCGGGGGGAGGCGGGCTCACAGGCAGAGGAGCAGACTCTTCTCTGGATCAGATCGTTTGAGTCAAGGTGACGTCACCTCTATACAAGAGATGGCTCTAATCTCACAAGCTTTGATTGTTGTGTGGTGTATCATACACATTAGTATCACACATGTGTATAGGAGTGAGTGTGAAACATGAAGAAAAGCGTGATATAGGACCTTTAAGAAAAAATGTCACAGTCTGTCCTGGACAAATACCGAACTGAATGATTCTTTTGAACTTGATACTTAAGTGTAACATTAAGTGTTTATTCCTTGAAATATTTGATGGTAACTTGTATTGTAACATGAATATGTAGTGAGCGCACAGGTTTTTTGCTTCTGTACTAATAATAATAAATAAACTTAAACTGAACTGAAACATATTCGTTCTATTACCTACATTTACAGTTACAATCCAGGTGCAGAATTATACTTTTCAATACCCAGATCATTTTGTTGATACCTGTAATAGTTCTTTGAGGTGATAACCGCCTCGGCCACCTCAGTCTACCAGTCAGATTCTCCTCCTCTCCCTCTGGCTGCGGTGGTGGTTCTCCTCCCATCACCAAGCCCAGAGGCACGGCCCCCACCCACTGCCTGGACCGAACACACTGAAGGCAGTCCATGATCCACCGCGCATCACGCCACACGACGTCCAGCCTCTGTGAGGACCACAACAATCAATTTTGTCTAAATTGTGATTCCCAGTTTTTGCTTCTTTCCCGCTCCATTTTTAGCTGACAAATTGTAAATAAAAATGCATTTGTAAATACATACTAGGGCAAATACTGTTGCTTGATTGTATATTTATGTTTATATGTTTGCATGTGTAAGTGTATACTGTAAGCACAGTAGGCAACATGCACAAAAGGTCATGTCATGTGAATATTGTAAATACTACTGAATGTATAAATTTTGCTCGAACAAATTAAATAAATCAATCAATCCTTTGAAAAGTCTGCTGTTCTTACATGTGCTAGTTCAGCTATGCGATTTAGGCGTTCCCGGGCTTCCAGCATCTCTTTTGTGTCCAGAGCCTCCCTCAGAGCCTGCTGGGCCAGATGAGTGTCCAGCTCCAGTCTCACCCAGGCCTGGCAGTAGTGAGACAGGAAGTCATGCTCATATGTCCAGAAGTGAACTGAAAAACGGAGAAAGTTATGAGACAGAAAGCTAGTTGTAGTAATTCAGTTGTAGAGCTGGAGCTTCTTTGAGTTTTTAAATTAAGACATTTCCAAACACTAATTTAGGGGCAATACTTTTACCACTACAGTGGTACAGTTACACCGTACCATTATAGGACTGAGAAAGGGGCTTTTAGACAGAAGGGGCATGTTTGTTAGCCCTGACTCTCGCCAGACCCTTGTAGTTCCGCCATGCTCCACCAGAGGCGTTTTCTGGGCTCCCAACAAAACACTGTGTGAAGCTCAGCAAACAAGGATCTGGCAAGAGTTAGGATACATGTTTTCCCCAGAAGTTCTTGATATTAGCCTTGGTTTTTGAAGAGTGAACACTTGTTGTAAAAATGTTAATAAAAGTTGATTTTGCAAATATGTCTCTTTTAAAGATGCATTATGTAACTTCTGTAGAGGGTTAAATGTTATTAGCCATAATACATAGTATGGCATTAAACATATCTACACATAAAAAAATATGTGGATAAGAGGAGTGTGCTATATTACAGACAAACACACTTGTTCATGCTTCATCTCCTACCTATTTCAAAAATCTGCAGCGGCATTGTCAGACCAGGTTCCTTGGTTCCTACTAAGGGCCAATAACTGGAGCTGAAATCTTCACTTGGAGGCAACAGGAGCAATAAGGACAATCTGTCTCCAAACTGCACAAGTTCCCGGGTGTAGACGCCGTACTGATAAGCCTGACACATAAACACAAAGAAAAATATGCTTACTGTGGGAAACACTAGGGCTGAATTAATCACAGTCTTCCTGGTCGCATTAAGCAAACCCCCAAGACAATTTTATTATTTTGATTTTTGAAAACCAAAAAGGACTAAAAATGAGCATGAAATCACTAGAATTTGAGAAAATGTCTCTGAATTTTGAATCCAGAGACATTTTCTTATATTTTGAAGACTAGAGACGCTGGAAGTATTGTTGTCTTGTTGTCGGGCAGAACTATTACTTACATCTCGTCTTTTCCATCATTTATTAAAAAACTGTCAAAATGAGATGCACTCCTCAGGTCTGACTATAAGAATTTAGCATTGGAAAAAAAAAATGCTATGAATTTTTTATTTCTACTAGAATAAAGATAATGGGTTTGGTTACATGACAATGAGAACTGTGTAGCAACCGGAAACTGCTTCATATGTACGCTTTTTGCTAAAGTTGGAGATTATACATTGGAGGATGGCTGCTCTGTCAGTGACAACACTGCCTTGATCTTTCAGCAAGATTTTATACGCTTTTATTTTATTTATTTTAGTAGAGTTATTGTTCATGTATCTTGGGTTGGGTGATCCTCATTCTTACTGTTCTGTAACTTGTGATGCAACACTGAAAATTCCAAACTGTAAGTGCAACTCTCATTGAGTTATTTTTACACCTACAGAATATTGCTATGTCAATCAGACATTTATTTTAGATTGATTTGGCAACATCATGCAGCCTTAGTGTGCACTTTGAAACCCACCACAAAGAGTTTATTTACCATGTAGAGGGGGATGTTGAGCTTTGTCAGCAGATGGGTTATGGCTGCTCTCAGAGAAGTGGCGAACTCCAACAGGCCGCTGCTCTCCATCAGGTTGTCTTCGTCTCCGCTCAGAAGGTTCTGGACGCTGTCGTTGAGTGTCGTGTAAACATGACTCTGGAGCCACGCCCACTCGTCCCTGCCACACCATAAACACGACTTGCTTATTTAACGTAGGCTTACTCCAGGTGACCTGGATACAACAAAGTGTGCGTGGTTGACGGTACCTTGTGACGTGGGCGTTGTGCCGGACCCTGGTGTGACAGAGGAGGTTGGGGAGTCTCTGTGGCACCAGCACCCGGATCTGCTCCACTGAGCTGCACAGCTTCAGGATCCCGACATAAAGACCAGGCTGGGCCCACTGGGTGCTGTGGCGGTGATAGGACAGCTTCTCCTACATGTTCAGAGAGATAATATGTGTAGTGACTATTTGTCAAAAAATAGACTATCAAACCAAATGTAACCAAACTTAAGAACAAACTCAAATAATCACTAGAATGCACCATGGGTAAGTGGTTTACGCAGTACAAAAAATAAACAATTGTCCATTCCAAAAAATGTAAAGTTCAAAAGGGGTTTATTCATCAAGTTGCAGGCAAACAACACAAAAATGCTGCATCTCCCAGAACTGGTAAAAAACCATAGGCCCACCCAGGTGCATGAAGGCCCGCCCTGTACTGCCCCCTTATATCCCCTAGGTGCCACTAAACCAAAAAACTAAACCGAACTGAAGTAAACCCAAAATAATCTACAAAAATACTAACCTCAGCAAAAAATTACTAATTATAAAAAAATATACAAAACCCCAAATAATTAAATCAATCAAGCAAATAGCTCCTACACTCCAGCCCCTAATTGTGCATAAAATCACTATTACTAACTGCACTAAGGAGCTATTCTGACCATGTCAGTGTTATCTATGTGTAAGTGTATTAGCCTTAAGTGAGTTTTCCTTCTTAAACCTGAAATAAACAAAGATAGAGCAAGATGAAGAGAGAAGAGAAAGATCGAAACTTTGGTCAAGAGTCCGAAGCCGCTTCCAACAGCAGGCAGAGCTTGGTCACTGGTCTTTCCAACACACTGGTTTTGGTCTTGAGCTGCACAGTACGAACTAGGCCTTTTGAGTGCCAGGACTCTTCCCATCAGCCAGCATCCTCTAGGGGCAGTGGCATCAGCAACCAAATGTCTCCACAACAGAGATTTCTTCTTGGCCTGACCTATTTCTATTTGCCCTGCATCATGGGCAAATACTCTTTTCCAGAATATGTCCATCATGTATTGTACTTGTCTCCATCTTTTCTTCAGATACATGTCTTGTTTTTGGAATAGTCCAGGTGGCAAGACTGGCTTTCCCTTTAATGTCAAGATAGAGTTGGGTGTGAGAGCCTCAAGATCTCCTGGATCCTCAGATATTGATGTGAGAGGTCTGTCATTCAAAATGGCCTCCGCTTCACATAAAACTGTCTGGAGGACTTCATCGTCCACAATCTGCTGCTTGAGGACAGAAGTAAGCACATTTTTAACTGAGCGAATCAAGCGCTCCCATACACCTCCTTGGTGTGAAGCTGCAGGAGTATTAAAATGCCAATCAATTCCATCTTGCACCAAAGTCCTTTGGATTTTGTCCTGGTTTAAAGTTGCCAAGCTTTCTTTGAGCTCTTTATTGGCTCCAACAAAATTTGTGCCATTATCAGACCTGACAGAGGAGACTGGTCCACGTCTGCACACAAATCTCCTGACTGCGTTAATGCAGGAGTCAGCATCCAGTGTGTACGCAACTTCTAAATGGACAGCACGGCTGGTCAGGCATGTAAAAATTACATGCCTGTCCATTTTACACTCCATCCAAGTCCATTTCCAATATTTCTTTTGTTTTGTTGTTGTCCAAAATATTGTGTAGCACCACACGACTATTACTGAGCCATTTTGACAATTTAAATCCACCTTTACTGCAGAGAGCTGTCAAATCTTGAACCATTTTTTATAGCCTCTTCATTTGTAGGAAGAGATTTTAATAAATCATCCACATAGAAATTATGTTTAATAGCGTCAATAACTTCAGGTGGAAAATAAGAGATATTGTCTTCGGCAGTCTTTCTTGCCTCTCCTGCCTCTTTTTACATGAATGGGGCCAAAATAGTCTACTCCAACATCTGTAAATGGAGCTTTATTTGGCATCACTCGTTCAAAGGGCAAATCTGACATTTTTTGTTCCATTAACTTTCCTCTGTTTCTTCTGCATGTGACACAATCTGACAGAACCTTTCTTGCAGCAGAGTTTGCACTAACTATCCAGTATTTTTGACGCAGTCTGGGCAGCATGTGATTTCTTCCTGCATGGCCAAGCTGATGGTGAATATGGCGCAGTATCAATGTTGAGACATGCATATCCTTACTCAAAATAGCAGGATGCTTGGCCTCCATTGGGAGAGCTGCTTTATGGAGACGATCACCCACTCTGAGCACTCCATTGTCCAGCTCTGGATCCAGCCTGTACAAGTTGCTGTCTTTAGAGATTGTTTTATTTGCTTTGAGTTGACAAATTTCAGCTTTGAACTTGTGATGCTGCTCAAATTGAATGATGGCATGCTCTGCATCAATCAGATCTTCACATGTTAAATATTGTCCTTTAATTGAGCTTTTGAACTGCTCCATCTTTTGTACCACAATTTGCTCTTTGTTTTTATCATTGAGTAAAATATGAAACTCCTTCCTTTTTAGATATAACATTTTTAAAAACCCTTTCATCTTTAAAATCCAAGCCACATTCTTTTTCATTTTAATCCAACATGAAAAGTGTGTGAGGAAGAACATGGTGGGACTTTTTGGCCCTTCCACCAGAGCATTAACACACACATCCTTTTTCACTTCCGGGTCATCTGCAGGGATAGGATTGTGGTTTGAATCCAACTTTGGCCACTTATCCTTGAGCTCCTTCAGAAACTGAGGGCCATGAATCCATCTGTTGTTCATAAAGTCTTCCGCTCTCATCCCTCTTGATGCCTCGTCAGCTGGGTTGTCTTTGGTACTCACATATCTCCACTGATCGACATGAGTAGCTTCTCGGATGAGTGAAACTCTGTTTGCGACAAAAGTATGAAATCTTTTAGTTTCATTGCAGATGTATTTAAGGACAGTTGTGCTGTCAGTCCAAAAAACAGATTTCTCCAATTTGAGATGTAATTCTTTTTGAAGCATTTGATCCATGTGAACTGCGAGGACAGCGGCTGTGAGTTCTAGACGAGGAATGGTGGTCTGTTTGAGAGGAGCCACTCTGGCCTTGCCTAAGAGAAATGAGAGGTGGACATGATGGTTACTCTGTAGTCTTAAATAGGACACTGTGCCGTATCCTACTTGGCTGGCATCAGAAAAGTGATGAAGCTGCACCGTGACTGGATCAAAGTCTATGGGCTTGATACATCGAGGCACTCTAAACTCTGCCATTCTCTTTAGATCTTGTAGCCAGCCAGACCACTGTTTGGAAAAGTGTGGGAGAACAATATCATCCCAGCCCAATCTTCTTCTACACAGTTCTTGTAACAGCAGCTTAGCAGTGACTGTAAATGGGGCAAGAAAGCCCAGTGGGTCATACAGGGAGCTGACCACAGAAAGTATCCCTCTCCTTGTATGTGACTGGTCTTGAAGTGAGGATTTAAACTTGAATGTGTCACTTTGAGTGCACCACTGAAGCCCCAGTGCCCGCTCTACTGGGAGCTCATCTCCATCCAAGTCCATTTCCAATATTTCTTTTGTTTTGTTGTTGTCCAAAATATTGTGTAGCACCACACGACTATTACTGAGCCATTTTGACAATTTAAATCCACCTTTACTGCAGAGAGCTGTCAAATCTTGAACCATTTTTTATAGCCTCTTCATTTGTAGGAAGAGATTTTAATAAATCATCCACATAGAAATTATGTTTAATAGCGTCAATAACTTCAGGTGGAAAATAAGAAATATTGTCTTCGGCAGTCTTTCTTAAAGCATAATTTGCACAACTTGGTGAAGAGACAGCTCCAAACAGATGAACTTTCATTTGATATACTCTTGGCTCAAGTGAAGTGTCGCCCCTTGGCCACCAGAGGAAGCATAGGTAGTGTCTTTGGTGCTCTGGGACATGGACCTGATGGTACATGGCTTTGATGTCTGCCATGACAGCTATGGGCTCCTTTCTGAATCGCAGCAAAACTCCCACCACAGAATTTGTGAGATCAGGCCCCTGAAGAAGCTGGCTGTTTAGCGAGGTCCCTTTGTATGTCACAGCACAATCAAAAACAACCCTGAGCTTGTTTTTCCTGGGGTGATAAACACCATGGTGTGGAATATACCAAACTTCTTCATTATTGTCCATGTGGTCATCTGAGACCAATTCAGCATATCCATTGCAAAGCATGAATAATAGTGGGGTGTCTTTGGTGACAAACAGAACACTCCATTCTATTTCTGCAGTCTTTGCTCGTGTGACCCGATTTGAGACAGCCAAAGCAGAGTCCCTTTTCTTTAATAAAGTTTACTTTGTCCTTGTGAGCCTTTTCTTTAAATTTGAAATTTTTTTCCAGCTTATGGTTATTTAATGCACAAAATAAACAACCATTTACAGAAGTCTTGTTTTCATTTGATGCAAGTTTGTTTACAGTTACATTTGTGGCAAAACTTCCCCTTTTTCTTTGCTTTAAATTGCTACTGTTTGAGCTCTTGGGTAGAGAGTGCTGTGGATCTTGGATGTTTCCAAAAAGTGGATCTGATGCAATTCTGACCTGTTTTTCAATGACCAGGACCAGATCAGTGAACAATGCTCTTTGTCCTCTCCTTTCTTGAAGATCACAAGCCACTCCTCTCCATCTTTATCTTAATTTATACGGTAACTTTAGAATGATGTTTCTCATATTAGTTGGCAAATCAAGTTCTTTCATATGAGCGATATGTTCTGTTAAGTTTGAACATCCTCTTAGGAACAGAGAGAATGATTGTAGTGCTTGGATGTCTTCACCTTTTATTGATGGCCAGTTGTTAATCTTTTCCATATATGCATGTGCAATTTTATGTTCATTTCCAAAATGCTCAGCAAGAAGACCTTTTGCTTTGTAGTAGCCATGTTCTGCAGGTAAGTGCTGGCAACTGTGGACAAGGTCTCTCGGCTGCCCCCTGGTGTATTGTTCGAGAAAATGCAAACAGTCTGTCAGATCTGAAGTTTTTGCTTCGACACCATTTTCAAAAGCTCTTATGAACGATTTATATTCAAGAGGGTGGCCGTCAAAACATGGAATATTTCGAGGTGGTAAAACTGAAGTTAAGTTTTGCTGGACCAACATGGCAGTGATTTCATTTTGTCGTTGCATTATGTCCATTACACAAGATTGATTGTTTATTTCCGATGCCAACTCAACACTATCA